AAAAAAAACAATCAGTGGTGGTGACATATTTCCGAAAAAGAGTGCACATAGCAAACTGTAAAGCAGTGAACGGTTGTTAAGAGCTGGCACCAGCTTTGCAGAGATGCGTAAAATATATGTTCGCACCGACTACCTGGTGCGCGCTGCCCATTTATTTCATGATGCTTTTGCTAATAACGCCGCAAACGAGTGACTGACATTTACGGAAAGAAAAATGATTGTTCAGGCAATGTTTGAAAAGGCGCGAGCGCAAAGTTGAAGGAACAGATGCAGCTGCTTTCGAAATATTGATAAATTCGAGTAAAATCGCTTCACCAGATTCCCACACCGACCACTCAAACTGTCTTGGTGGTGGTGAGAATGTAAATCTTAGTTGAAGTTTAATATTTACCGTAAGAATATGAAGTGGGAAGCTATAAGTTACTGTTTTTTGATCGAAGAAAAGTTAACAATTATTCATATATCTAACTGACCGAAGTAGGATCGATCGTCAGGTGAATCGAGTATAGTTAGCACGCCGCTCACGTCCAGAGACGAGAAATTCCTGTCATTAGTGTTTGTGGGCTGAGAAGTTGCGTACCGATCTGCTGCTTTAACTGATGCACTTTCTGACAGTTTTCGCCGTGTCCGGCGATGATGGCTACTGAAAATAATAAATTTGTGATTTGATCAGTTAGAATTTACAGCAGCCGGTTTTTCAACTGTTCAGTCCAGACTGCATCGCCTAGTCATCGGTCTGCTGGAGATCTCAATGGTCATTTCGTTTCCTAAGGGAATGACCAAGGAATATTATCCCAGCGAAATATTTTGACAAGGCTTCAGCTATTTCAAGACGTCTTTAGAGTGCGTGCTGAATATCGCCGCTTCATCTCAAACACTGCCGCTCCCGGGCTAAGTCGGGGTGAAATATTGCCGACCAAGAGCGGAAATATATGTGAAAGAAATTGTAATGTTTTCCCGGACTTCATCTCTTAGAATTTGTATCCTCGAGAGGCGAAACTACTACCTCTTTCATAATCAAACGAATTGGAAGGGCTTTTCTGTGGCCTTAAAATGATGTTTCACTAAGGCCTCACCTGGGTGCTACCTGCACCTGAACATCGTGATTTTTGGAAGGAGGTCGTATTGATGGTGGTGAAGCATTCATGCCGCTTTCGACATAAGGTTCGTATTCATCGATTTCTAATCCAGTAAGAGGTTCTTCTGACTGCACTGTTGTCACCGGCTTCGAACGTGGTTCTGGTGGTTCCGGACCAGCTCTTCTGCCAAAGTTTGCTGTTGTTATCAGTAACGGTGGTGGAGACGCTGATAATTTTGCAGATGATGGTATCGCTGTTCGAATGTGCTCGGCCACATTTGTTATTCGCTCCTCGGCTGTTGGACATCGAAGCTGGGGCTACAAATTTCGGAGATTTTTAAGTTGTTTTTTGTTCCGTTGACTGACCGTGCTTAATTTTTTCTCGTTGGATAATTGATAACTGCCTGACTAAGCAGACTACGATTCGGAAAATTCTCAAGCCGACAGTGAGATTCTACCGTCGCAATATATGCATATTCGCCCAGTTTCTCAAGAAAAAGATTTTCTGCTTTGAAAAAAGGTGGTAAAAAAGGATCGGTGAAATGAAAAACCGAGCCAAAATCATAACCATCCTACGTGTAGTCAAAAGCCAAAAACTCATAAACTCAGTGATGAAAAAAAAAA